ATACATATACATATATATATATATATATATAGAGAGAGAGAGAGAGACATGGGGACAGAGATACATACATACATACATACATACATACATACATACATACATACATACACACATACAATGTTGACACTGCAGATCGTTTCCTGGCCTATATTTACCAGTCTCTCAGATGGGAATTATTTAGATTCTTAATTAATTTGCTTTTTCCTAGGTCAACCATCCCCCCCCCCATTCATTGGAGGGAGTTATTGGTTTGTAATGCACAGCAGAGGCTGCTCGGAGAGTGATTTGAATCAATTCCCCCGGGGGGGGGGCGGGGAGGATGGGTTTTAATTAATCAGGGCTGTCAAAGGGCCCCATTGATCCTTACCCCTCACTCAGGGGGCTGGCACCGGGCGGGGAGGAGATGGCAAGGAAAGGGAACGTCTCAAGGTGTTTTCAAATTCCACTTGAGATTTCAAAAAGGAGGCGATGGAAGACTAAATCAAGGAAAATAAAATAGGATTTTCCCCTCTTGGCAGGTGTGCTTGCCTTCTTCTCCTTCTCCTTCTCCTTCTCCTTCTCTTTCTCCTTCTCCTTCTCCTTCTTCTTCTCCTTCTCCTCCCCAGGGGTAGGGCTTTAGCAAGGGGGTTCTCTGCCTGGCTGTTGGGTGGGTGTGGCCATGGTGGACGTGATTATGTTACCTAGTTGGGCAGTGAAACATCTGCAAGAAAATAACCAAGCTCAGAGAGCACCAAAGACCTCACAGTCCTCCTCCTCCTCCTTCTCTTCCTCCCCCTCTTCCTCTTTTCTAGCACTGATGGCGTTAGCTAGCTGGGTAATGAAACATCTTCAAGAAAACCACCAAGCTCAGAGACCACCAAGGACCTCACTGTCCTCCTCCTCACTCTCTTCCTCCTGCTCCCTCTCCTTCCCCCTCCCTCTTCCTCCTTTCCACAAATCCCACTCTCTTCTAACACTGATGAGGTTACCGAGCTGGGTCGTGAAATGTCTGCCAGAAATCAACCAAGCTCAGAGACCACCTAGGACCTCACAGTCCTCCTCCTCCTCCTCCTCTCCTTTCTAGCACTGATGAAGTTACCTAGTTAGATGACGAAACGTCTGCAAGAAAACCACCGGGCTCAGAGAGCGCCCGGGATTCCTTCCTACTCTACCACGATCTCTTCCTTGCCGCCTCCTGGGATCCCGAAGCCTTTAGCCACCACCGTGACCCATCACCACCATCTCTTTCCATTTCCTGAGCCTCGTGACGAATCCTTCACTCCCCTTTTCTGCTTGATGGTGCCCGTTTCGTGTTGTGTGCCGTTACTAATCGATGAAATATGTAATGTGGCCATAAATCTGCTAGGAAAAAAAAACAGGATTTGCCATGCCAGGAATACCAGAAAGGGAGTCCCCAAAAGCGAAAGGGCAGAGCGCCCTCTGGTGTTTGCCCAACAACTCTGCAGGGACGCCCTGCGGTCTGCACACACGCACTCTCTCCCACGAACTTTTACTTCCCATCCAGGCTCTCAATATGCCCTAAATATGCTGGTTGTTTCAGGCAGGCAGAAAATCCCAACCCAACATCCCCAGGTTTCCTCAGACATGAATAAGGAGAATTAAACCAACCCTCCAAAGAGATTGGGTTGATGTCAACAGGCATCAAGACGAAAAGTAGGCTCTGTAAGCTGCTTAGAGCGCTGTGAAGCAGTATATAAGTCTAAGTGCTATTGCTAAGTGGGAAGGAAGGAAGGAAGGAAGGAAGGAAGGAAGGAAGGAAGGAAGGA